TTGCAGCTGCTGGATGACCTTGGGCAAGCCATAGTTCTGTCAGAGCTGTCCTTGAAACGGCAGTTCTGTCAAGAGCTCTCTCAGCCCCGCCTACCTCACAGGGTGTATGTTGTGGGGAGGGGAAGGGAAAGGAGTTTGTAAGCTGCTCTGAAACTCCGAGTGAAGGGCAGGGTATAGATCCAATCTCCTCCTCCTCCTCCTCCAGATAATGGTGATTCTGGCCAGTTGGGGAATCACGTAGTAAAGACTGATGACGATATCAAGATGTTACCTGCCCCATCAGCTTTGGCTAGAAGACGCTGGCTATTAGGGAGAGCAACTGGAGAGCCAGTTTGGTGTAGTGGTTAAGTGCACGGACTCTAATCTGGGATAAAGCAACGTTTTGTGGAAACTTTACTGAGACTTGCTGGGGAGTTGGCCTTCTCCAGTTCTTCTCGTTTTGATTTGGTGTAAGAAGAAGAAGAGAAGAGATTGGATTTATACCCCGCCCTTCACTACCCAAAGGAGTCTCAGAGCGGCTTACAAATTCCTTTCCCTTCCCCTCCCCACCACAGACACCCTGTGAGGTAGGTGGGGCTGAGAGAGCTCTTGACAGAAACTGCTCTTTTTCGAGGACAGCTCTTATCAGAACTACGGCTTGCCCAAGGTCATCCAGCAGGTGCAAGTGGAGGTGTGGGGAATCAAACCCGGTTCTCCCAGATTAGAGTCCGAGCACTTAACCACTACACCAAACTGGCGACCCTAGGTCTGCTACACACCTCTTACTTGGCACCCCAGTTTGCCCATGCCGGGGCGGCCCAGAGGGTCTGGCTTAAAGCCACAAAACCTAAAAAACACCTTTCCACCCAAGATCTCAGTTCTGGGACTTAAATCTTTTAGCAGAAACTGACACCACAGAAGGAGGAGATGGAATTTATATCCCGCCCTTCACTTGGAGTCTCAGAGCGGCTTACAGTCTCCTTTCCCTTCCCCTCCCCTCCCCACAAGAGACACCCTGTGAGGTAGGTGGAGCTGAGAGAGCTCTTTCCAGAACTGCTCTGAGAGACCTTGTGACTGACCCAAGGTTACCTAACTGGCTGCACCTGTTCTCCCAGATTAGAGTCTGCCACTCTTAACCACTGTGCAAAAGAAACTCTCCTCCTTTCTGTCCTCTCTCCCAACACTCTTTGACCCCAGGAGGATAGGGGTGTGCATATGAGTGAGTGAGACACCTAACAGTCAATGTTCCCTCTAAGCTGTGGGGTCTTGTGAGCAAAAAATTCTACTTTGTGAGCTACTGGCATTAAAGTTGTGAGCAAGAGATTTGGCTGCTGCATCAATTAGTTTGCTCCGGAGCCATCTTTCCTGAGCCAAGACGGAAATGTGTGAGCCAGAGGCTCAAAAACTGTGAGCTAGCTCACACTAACTCAGCTTAGAGGGAACACTGCTAACAGTGTATGGTCCCCCCCCCCGACTTTTCCTTTCGGCTCTCATTTATCGCTCAGCCCCAGGCTGACTCTGAGAAGAGAGTCTGGGCTGCATGGGCACGCTTCTAAGCAGTCAATTCACAATCAAGATCATTAAGAGAATAAATCTTTAATAAGCAAGCATCAATCCTAATAAAACCCTGGGAAACAAACGGAAGACAGATCAGCGGAGGCGGATCACTAGGCAAGAGAATGAATGGATATAAGGCTAGATGCAAGTGGGTAGCCGTGTTGATCCGAAGCGGCTGAACAAAGTTGGAGTCCACTCCAGGGGCACCTTTAAGGCCCACGAAGTTTCATCCTGGGTAAAAGCTTTCGTGTGCAGTCACATGTCTTCCAATCCCTCTTGATTCTCAGTCCCTTAGGTATAATGTCCAAGTTTTTGCATTTTGTAAGAAAGGAAATATCAGTCTGTATCAATGTCCCCTCTAAGCTGTGGAGTCTTGTGAGCATTAATTCTACTTTGTGAGCTCCTGGCATTAAAGTGGTGAGCGAGCGGTTTGGCTGCTTCATAAATTAGTTTGCTCTGGAGCCATCCCTTCCTGAGCTAAGACTAAAATGTGTGAGCTGGAGGCTAAAAAACTGAGCTGGCTCATACTAACTCAGCTTAGAGGGAACATTGGTCTGTATCCATGCACGTTTCTTCACAAGGTTGATGGCGTTCCACTCCCCGCGGCTTAATGTGGTGCCTTCCATGAAGATGGATTCAGGTGGGGTCGCCGTGTTGGTCGGAAGCAACAGAAGAAAGTTGGAGTCCAGGGGCACCTTGAAGACCAACAAAGGCCCCGGTCACATGGGAGGATTTGCCCTGCAAGTGGGACGGATCGGGGGCACATCAAGCGGGCACGATCACACCGCAACATCTGGGAAGCGGCGTGCACCTGTCCCCGATCCATCCTTTCGGCCCACAAACGCGCATCAAAAAGATAGTAGCAACAGAGCACCAACTTCTGGATGATGCGTGGCAACGGAAGGCGTCTGGTTGGGGAAGGGCTGGTAGGCCGTCGCAGCCAGCACCGTCCCACGTCCCACGCATGCGCACGACTGCGCTACTGCTGGTTTGCTGCTCAATAGTGTGATTGGCTGCCGGAGCAGGGAGCACGGAGCTGCGGGGGCATGTTGGATCGCTCTCCCGTGGTTCTTTTTGCTCCGGCTCTAATTTGCTTCCCTTCGGCAGCAGATCATCCCACTCGTGTGACCGGGACCAAAGTTTCATTCTGGGTTTAAGCTTTCGTGTGCATGCACCCTTGAAGAGCTCTACATTCACTTCCCTGGAATGGGTGCATGACAGAGCATTGTGGCACAGCCTGGCAAGGTTTGCCTTCGGTATCAGTGCCTTGACCCAGGACTGCAGTCCAGGCGAGAGTTTTATCAATTCTCCTGCAGCCTGGGAGGAGCATTGTGAACCCAGTCTCTCCCCCTGTGCTCTGCCATGCCAATCTTGCTCGAGTCCGCAGGGCCTTCTGCAGGTGCCAACCAATGCTCCCTCTAAGCTGTGGAGTCCGGTGAGCAAAAATGCTACTTTCTGAGCTACCGGCATAAAAGCTGTGAGCAGGCAAATTGGCTACTACGTAAATGAGTTTGCTCTGGAGCCACCCTTCCTGAGCTAAGACAAAAATGCGTGAGCCGAAGGCTAAAGAACTGTGAGCTAGCTCGCACTAACTCAGCTTAGAGGGAACACTGGTGCCAACTTGAACATGGGCAAAATCAACAACTGCCTGTACACATGGACTTCTCCGTTGTTGCCCCCGCCTTGTGGAATGGTCTGCCCGGGGAGGTCAAGAAGGCTCTCACCCTCCTGCCTTCCCACAAACTATGCAAAACCGAATTATTTAAGAGGGCTTTTCTATGCAGGCAATAGGGTAGCACTGAACAAAATGATTTGCAAAGTTACTTGGGTGAATTATTAGGGATTGTGTTTTATACTGCTGTGTACAGTTTAGGGTAAGTAGGATCCTATTATGTAATCTCTGCAGTGCTCAGTTTGTCGTGCGAATACTCATGCTATGCTTCAGTTTTCTGAACAGTTTTCTGTCACACAGGGGCCAAAACCCAGGTGCTATCAGGGGGCCCACCAGGATAATCTACGCAGGAAATCTGAACTGGTTTAATAGGTATGTTAATCAGCCAAAGATTGAGCCGTAGATTACGATCCCACCGAATTGGCAGTAGCACTATGTTTGAATGACATCTATTCTATGGAAGTTGTACGGAAATATCTACTTCCTTTCTCCCTCTGCCAAACAGAAAAAAGATAGAGCAGCAGTGACCAGGATAGCTCAGGGAAGCCCGATCTTGTCAGATCTGGGAAGCTAAGCAGGGCCGACCTTGGCAGGTACTTGGAAGGGAGACCTCCAAGGAATACCAGAGCTTGGGACGTAGAGGCAGGCAATAGCAAGCTACCTTTTTTATGCATGGGATAGAGCAGGTTGAGAAAGAAGTGCTTTTCTCCCTTTCTCACAATACAAGAACTCGTGGGCATTCCATGAAATTGCTGAGGGGTCGGGTCAGAATGGATAAAAGGAAGTCCTTCTTCACCCAAAGAGTGATGAACACATGGAATCCAGCGCCATAGGAGGTGGTGGCGGCTACAAGCATGGGGGGCTTCAAGGGAGAATTGGATAAACACATGGAGCAGAGGTCCATCGGTGGCTATTAGCCACAAGGTATAGAGAGGAACTCTCAGTCTGGGGCAAGGGATGCTCTGTATTCTTGGTGCTTGGGGGGGCAACAGTGGGAGGGCTTCTAGTGTCCTCCTGGCCCCACTGGTGGACCTCCTGATGGCACCTGGTGTTTTTGGCCACTGTGTGACAGAGTGTTGGACTGGATGGGCCACTGGCCTGATCCAACGTCGGCTTCTCTTGTGCTCTTATGTTCCTATGTTCACCTCTCTAAAATGTCCAAGCCCCACTAGGAGTCACCAGAAGTCAACCGTGAGCCCCAAGCATACATATACAGACACACATACAAATTGACAGACACACACACAAAAAGAAAAAAGTTAGAACAGCTATCTCTGAGTCCAATAGCACCGTAGAGACCAATAAGATTTTCGGGTAGAAGCTGTCAAGAGTCTAAGCTGCCTTCGTCAGAGCAAAGATGTTTTCCTTCCAATTTGTATTCAAAAATCAAAAAATATTTCTTTGCGTCTTCCACCTATGCATTATGCATGGTGTGATAAGATATTAAGGAATACTTTCCCCTTTAATAATGAGAAGTGGCTTTTGTTTATTGAATCGTAAGGGCGCAAACACTTCTCAGAAATTGTGTCCTTCTACCACCTTGACAAAAAATAATTTTAAAAAATGGCTGCAACAGACTAATACAGCTACCCCCCTGGAAAATTAAAACATTCCGTGTATATTTACGTTTTTGGGGGAATAAATATTCTTATTCAGTAATTTCCTTTTTCTTCTCTCCCTGTTCCTATGAAGCTCTTTATAGAGTATCGTGCAGCTGCCGGATTTGATATACTTCTACGGCGAGTTCTCCAACCAAGGGTAAATTCCGCTCCTGGGAAGGAGCGATGCCAAGATGGCTGACTTCACCATGCTGGGTGCCAACAACTTCCGCCCGTTCACCCAAGAATCTTTAGCGGCCATTGAGAAACGCATCGCGGCCAAGAAGGAATGCAAAGACCCGCCCCCTGAAGACAAGCCCCGCCCCCAGCTCGATATTCAGGCATTCCAGAAGCTGCCCGCCCTCTATGGAAACCCTCCCTCAGAGCTCATTGGAGAGCCCCTTGAGGATCTGGATCCTTACTACGATGATCACAAGGTAAAGCCTTTTTGTGGTTGCTTAGGTTGGTTAGAGGAATAACATCCAAATCGGAAGACGTCAGAGTCCCGCTGAACACTGCATTGGTCAGGCTGCATCTGGAGTATCATGTGCAGTTCTGGAGGCCTCCCTTCCAAAAGGATGTGGACAGAACGGAGTGGGTGCAGAGGAGAGCGACGAGGATGATCGGGGGCCTGGAGAACAAGCCCTGTGAGGAAAGGCTGAGGGACTGGGGGATGTTCAGTCTGGAGAAGAGGAGGATGAGGGGGGACAGGATGGCTCTCTCTTGAAGTATTTGAAGGGCTGCCACTTGGAGGAGGGCAGGGAGCTGTTCCTGTTGGCAGCAGAGGAGAGGACATGCAATCATGGGTTTAAATTCAGGGCAGGAAGGTACCCGCTGGATCTTAGGAGAAAAGTTTTGACAGTAAGAGTTGTGCAGCAGTGGAATCAGCTGCCTCGGGAGGTGGTGAGCTCCCCCTCCCCGGCAGTCTCTAAGCAGCATCTGGACAAACCCTTGTCAGGGATGCTCTAGCCAGGGGTGTCGAACTCATTTGTTATGAGGGCCGGATCTGACATAAATGAGACCTTCTCGGGCCGGGCCATGGGTGTCATAAAATGTAATGCCAGGTAGCGGCGATATAAACTTTATAAAGGACACAAACACAAAGGGCTTTTTTAAAAACTTAAAATAAAAACATGCTGAAAACATCAGCACTCTTGCTCTGAATGATTGCATCAAAATGTCTGTGCTGCTGCACTCTTGAGTATGCCGCTCAGGTGTGTATCTGTAAGCTGCAAACCTACGATGATGCAGCAGCAGCAGAACCGGAAGAAGAAGCAGAAGACGGCCAGTTCCACTGCGGGGCTGACAGAAGCCCTCCGGGGGCCTGATCTGGCCCCCGGGCCGCATGTTTGACATCCCTGCTCTAGGCTGATCCTGCATTGAGCAGAGGGTTGGACTAGATGATCTGCATGGCCCCTTCCAACTCCGGGATTCGATGATTCTAAATATTTCCAGCAGCACGCTGGCTTGGACTAGATGGCCTGTAGGACCCCTTCCAACTCTGTGATCCTATGATTCATAAATATTGCTTGAGAGAGCAAAACTGACATTTATATGAACCTACGAAGCTGCTTCGTACTGAATGAACACCAGAACACCGGGAGCTGCCAGTTTGGTGTAGTGGTTTGGTGTAGTGGTTAAGTGTGCGGACTCTAATCTGGGAGAACTGGGTTTGCTTCCCAACTCCTCCACTTGCACCTGCTGGTGTGACCTTGGGTCAGTCACAAGCTCTGGCACAGCTGTCCTTGAAAAAGAGCAGTTTGTGTCAGAGTTCTCTCAGCCCCACCCACCTCACAGGGTGTCTGTTGTGGGGAGGGGAAAGGAAAGGAGTTTGTGAGCCGCTCTGAGACTCCAAGTGAAGGGCGGGGTATAAATCCA